GCTCTACTCTGAGTCCCTCCTGTATGACTGAGCTTCTCAGCCTATCTCTAAGAGAGAGCCCAGACACCCTGCAGAGGAAACTCATTCACTACCCAAAGCTCGTGACCATAGATGAGGGTTGGAACGTAGACTGATCATAAACAGAGCGTTATCTTACAGCTCAGCTTCCTCTTCACCACAACAGACCAGTACAAAATCCACAAAACTGTAGAAGCTGCTCTGATCTGTATCAGTCTGTGCCCCTGGCAGCACAGCTCCTAGGATCATTCACTCAACTTATTTAACTTTAACATGTTGCTTTTTGTGACGCTGAGCTGTAATGTTTTAATCGTGTTTCTCAGGCAAAGCCCGAGCGAACAGCAGAAGAGAGCGACCGCCTCAGGAAGCTGATGTTGGAGTGGCAGTTCCAGAAACGGTTGCAGGAGTCCAAGCAGGGCGATGAAGAYGAGGAAGAGGAGGAGGACGACGAGGACATGGACACGATGCTGATCATGCAGAGGCTGGAGGCCGAGAAGAGAGTCAGGGTGAGGATAACGGAGGGTACAAATGGAAGGGGAGGGGCTAAAATGTTGAGAAGGATTAAAAACAAACGGGAGTAAATGATGTGTGCTCAGGCTTGTTTGGCAGGAATAAATCTGACTTCTGTTTTTTTCAAGCCATCTTACCCATCAGCTCACGCTCCAGAATCAAATCTGCAGTTAAGTTGACGAGGAGTGGGCGGGTCGCAGGAAATTCTAGGCTGATGGGGAGAAAAACAGAACTGGCTTTTTCTTTTTTTACGCTTCAAGAGGAAGTGGATTCCTCTGTGGCGGCACTCCCACTATGAATGTCGCGCAGTGTGCATCTGCAACATGCTTCTGTCATCGCTTTGCCATGCTGCGCTGCTTAAATCTGATTGGCTGGATGGGTGGATGGCAGGGTGTGGGCAGGAAGGAGGGCAACATTTTCTGCTAAAATAGACTCGGTGTTGGGACAGAAGTTTCCTGAAGATGAGTGTTTCCACCGGTCAGCTTCCTTAAACTCACGAACACGGTGACGAGCGGTCGTAGTCGGAGAATTTCACGCATCGCGTTCCAAACATTCGGTTTCTTTTTGAGCCGTTCTGTTGTGGACTTGCTGTGTTTGGGATCTTTGTCTCGTTACTTGACCCAGAGGAGTTCAGGTCCAGTCAAAGGTTCTGTAGGGTTCAGAGTGTTTCAAGATCAAAAAGGTTTACATGCTTAAATAAGGTAGCTAACTTCCTGCGCGACAAAATCTTAACTTCTTTAAGAATTTTAATTCTGTCAACTTTTTTATTTTCTTTTATTCACTCAATAATAATAAACGTAAATAGTTAATTTAACAAAAAACAAACAAACAATGAAATAAAAGGAGAAGAAAGAAGTACAAACTACGGCTGTGAAATTAATTGAGTTAACTCTGATTAATTTTAGTGCWGGGCCGAGATTAAAAAATTTAATCGTGATTAAAATATAAAATCTCTTTACTCTGTCTGAATCTGTAGGTTTGTATATTACAATGCACTCAGTGTCAGGTCATGTTTATAAATGAGAAGTGGTTCTCAAACAGTTTACCTGCATAAATAAGTGTTAAATAAATAAATAAACTCCATGTGTAACACATTATGTACAGTTTTTTTTCTTTCTGTCTTCTTATGGCTTATTT